TGTGTAGTGGCCGACTAGTGAACAGAGTCAGGCTGCAATGGCTCCTTCTTACTGTGGCCTCTATGACACTATCGCGCTTGCGTAGGAGTATTGCCGGCAAAAACAAGGCAGACTGGAATGGCCATTGCTGGCTGATAAACAGTCATCAGCCAGTGGTACATCACCCGAGACTCGAACCCACGGCCTTTTGACAAAAAGTCCCACTTTCTAACCATTGAGCTACGGGTTTACTGCCTCTCCGGTTTCGATCGGGAATATTCACAATGGTAGATGGACACTCACCGGTTGGTTATTGGCAGATAATAACGATGACATTTCAGGTCACAGAATTTTGAAATAAGTCTCCCTCTCGATTATTCTGAATGTTATTTCTTATGCTGAAAGACTTTACAGTACACCTCTCTTGCGACATCAGAATCCGCTGTGAGGTGCGTCTGTTAAAGAAAATTGCAGAAAAAAACTTAATTATCAAAGTAAAGGAAGGAGTCACTGGACAAAAAAGCCCACGGGATTGCAATCTCTTTGTCAAAAAAGGCCCAGCTGGAAAATTATCGCCTCGCGTTGATGATATTGACGAATTCGGGTTTTAGCGAGGCACCGCCAACCAAGAAACCATCAACGTCCGGCTGACTTCCCAATTCCTTTGCATTGCCAGCGTTCACCGAACCTGAATTTGCAGAAGATGGAAAAAATAAGGGTGAACAAGAATAAGGAGCTGTGGGATATCACGATACTTGGGCAAAAATAAAAAGGCTCATAGCTCGTCGGAATTATGGCTTTATTCGTCTGAGCTTTCTAACTCTTACTGGAGTCCGTCGTCAGAGGTAAAAGCGACAGCAAAAAAACAAAAATTAAAGGGCACAGGAGCCAATCAGACAACAGTGATGTCAGTCCGCAGGTTACTACGCGCGGCTCTGTATACGGGCGCCAGATCGATAAATCGATTCATTGAGTCCTCATCGAAGGCCTAGACTTCAGTCAATTCCCGGCTTGTATTGATTCTGGTGTGGGTGATTACCTTCGTGGCTGCGAAGTTAGACTCATGACCTCTTTCGTAGATTTGGCAGCCACTTTTGAGGTTCCGAAAGCTCAGACGAATTAAACCACAATTCCGGAGAGTGATGAGCCTTTTCCTTTACATATACACACACCTGGAATACGAAACTTCGCCTCAATTCGTCACAATACCTCTTTAAGGATAACTTCGTCTACATGGTTTATCAAGATTTTCGGTTGATCATCAAATTTAAAAAGCACCTGAGAGATCGTACACTATCAGTTTCCCTGATACGCCAGGCGTAAATGTATTGTTGAGGCACATTGAATCTCTAAAGGGAAACCAAACGGAGGGCTCGGTCTGCTGACGTCAGAAACTTTACTCACCGCCATACAAAATCCTGACTTTTTCGGAAACGCTGGGGTCGACGTGGTCACGCATCCAATCACGAACAGCTTTGTGAACTTCTTGTGCCTGAGCAGGGGTGGCCGTCTTTCCTGTGCCAATGGCCCAGACCGGTTCGTACGCGATGACAACGCGATCCCACTGGGCTCCGTTTATGTTTTCTGAAGTGATAATGCAATACAGTGAAAATTATTGCTTTTTAAAAAAATTCTCATGAACGGCTAATCACTCAGGTAAACGTTCTGAGACTGAGTAGCCCTTGCCATCACTATTTCTATTTTTGAATCGGCCATTGATTTGCGATGTCAGATCTCTCCATCAACGACTCATCGACAGTTAGGTGATCACACTATTGATCTAGGTTCCTTCCTTAAAGCACTCTTTTGGATTCATCAACTAAACCAACAAAATAGGCGACGGAGGGAAGTTAGGGTCTGGGGACTTAGTTATATCGGTTATAACAAATTTTAGTTAAGCAGGCTGACGGTTTACGACGTCACGGTCCAGTGACACTAAGACTAGGATAGTCAGTCTGGCCTTCGACATATTACTGGTGATCAGCTACCGAAGACGACATATACAGCAGATATGACTATAAAAATATTACCCGCTTGATTTCAATAGACCTTTTACTTACATTAAAGATGCCTCAGATGCAGATTTTAAAGTGCAAATGCAGTGAACGTACTGTACTTTGCCATTTCGCAACCAGCTTAACTTTTTAAGCATTCATAGTTCATTGTTATTTTTATGGGACATGTGACCATTTTTGCATCTTAAGTACTTTTTATGCATTGCTGTACCGTTTTAATGGCTTTTCTCATTTACTGGAAAAATCTACTGACTACAGCTACTGACGTTATGTTACCTGCAATGAAATCTCCTCCTGGCCTGCCTTAATCGCATCGATTCACATGCTCATTTACCCAACCAGAACGGATACTTACTGGATAGCCCAAGGCTAATTTAACAGGCAGACTCTGTTGATGTCCTCAAGATCAGGCTACTAGTCATCTGGCTATGTATCTCGACTTATATAATACACTCTTAACTAAATTTGGCCAGATGAGGCAGCTGAATGTATTCCGTATACCAAGCTGAGAAACAACCAAATAGATCTTAGCTCGACCCGCAATATAATTGTCGTGCGCAAGTGCGAGGACGGCAAAATGGCCCCGCAAATTGACGACCCACCAGGAAGCAAATTGATGGGAAATCAAAATAGATGAATAAGGATGCTGGGCGCCAGCAGTCTTGAGAGGATATAGAGATAGTACAGTGACAGATAGGCGATCTGTTACAGGACTCAGTCGTCCTTTGTGCCTTCGAGATTAACCTCACGCACCGTTAGCAGCCGCAAAGCGGCAAATGATATAGGCAGAATGACATTACCGACAAAGACAAAGGATGCTGGAATTGCCATTTCTGGCTCAGTAGCTGTCACAAATTAGTCATACACAGCCCCAAGTCGTGTCCTCCCGAGCTTCGATCCCGCAACCTTGCTACTTAGAAGTCCAACGTTCTAACCACTGTGTCACCGGCTCATTGCATTGTCGGTTTCGATCGAGAATATACACAGTAGCAGATAGGCCCGCACTGATCGGTTACAGGACACACTCGTCCGAGTCGTGCCTTTCGGGCTCACCCTCGAGCACTGCTAGCAGCTGCACAGTGGCAAATGATATAGGCAGAATGACATTACCGACAAAGACGCGGAGACTGAAGTAGCCATTACCAACTAATCCACCGTCATCAGCCGGTCATACACAACCCCAAGTGGTGCCCCATCCGATGTACTACAACAGCAAAAAACGTAATAACTGTGCAATGAATGGATATATACGACGACACCTCGGGCAGACGTACTGATAAATTTCGGCGTTGGGTTTTTTGATCTTCCGATATTCTACTTCTTGAGTGCATCCTTTTCTTATTTTCAAGTTTCATCAAATAAATTTATTTCTCAGAAGACAGAGGCCGGAGATGGGCAACTGTGCACATTTAATACTCACAAGTAGACCCGCCCGTATTACAGGAAAGCCTATGAACACTTCAGGCATCACGTTCACTTTATGAACAAACGGCCGCGGGTTCGAATCTCGAGTGGTCTACAGCTGGGATTGGGTATGACTGACTAATAATGGCTAATAAGCCAGAAATGGTTATTCCGGTCTCCGCTGCCTTCGTCGATTTTTCTTCATTCTATTCACTCTTCGAATTGAATAAAAAAGATGTCAAGCTGCTGTGCAACCTCTGCGGTCTCACTAACCGGCAGGCTGTTAAAAATCTTTAATTGACAGGCAGCCAGAAAACGCGTTGGCATCATGTGTGTTTGCAGCTCTTGAAAATGGCCGAAATTCCTTTGAACAAATCGCTACTTGCTGCTCACAATGAATAATAAACAATGCTTGTCGAAGAAAAAAATACTTCAATTTTTCGATAAATAGATAATCCAGTTTTCAGGATTTGATTTGGTATGAAATGACAAAATTATTTACGAACTCTGACACCAAGTTAGCGCTATGCTGCCGTAAAGATAAAAAGACTTTGACACTAGTTAAGAATGCCCAGTTAGAAAGTCGTAAATGCTTTCCATCAACATAGTAGGTATGCGGCGAACAGCCACCAATGTTGTCCCTCTTCCTTATTCAATGCCCATTGCCTCATCGTCATGCATCTTCGCACGTAACTGTTTGCGAGTCGTTAACCTGAAGACCCTTGACCTACTTCCACTCACGCGCACACGCGTATCAAAAAAAGTCGCGGCTGCCAAAGGGCCACTTGAACACGCTACTCTTCAGCCGACGTAGCATGGGCCACTGTACGCGACACCCTCTCGTGTAATGCAACACGCCAATCGCACAACACTTGAACCCGCTTTACAATGAAGTAAAAGCAGATTCTATCTCTTTCACAACACGCATTCACACTCACACACTCTCTTAGGCGTGACTGGACGCAGTCAACACTAGCACTGGCCACCGTTCCCTTGGGGAACAACTTGGGGTATTATGCCCAATAAAACCCTCATTCAGGTCCCCCCAGCCTTTTTCTTATAACTTAGGATTTGGTTTGATAATTGTAATGTTCTGAGTACGACCACTTCTTAGACGCTACAAACAAGGAGAGGTAAATGTCTTCGGAACTATACGCAGGCAGACAGGTTTGAGATCGCAGTAGACAATATTCTCCGTTTAAGATAAAGAAGCACATATAAGTATTAATAGAAGGGCGCACTTGCAAGAGCCTCCATTTGTTTGAAGCAAACCTCATTGGTCTTTCCAGCCTCTCGTTCTTCCAAAACTTCGCCAATGCACGGAATTACGCTAAGGCCTGCTTCCAAAGCATGCTTTACTTTTTCACCGATAAGCTTAAGGGAGCAAAGAGGAAAATTTCAGTTATTAACAGCCTGCTCAATTAGGAAAATGCACACGAAAGGTTCAAACACTAATTTTTGGAAACATAGATTCCCAGTTTGTACATTTTATGCATGTAAAATAAAACCGATAAGTTTTCAAAAATTTAATCTTTAAGAAGTGCTTCTGAAATGATAAAAGTTTGGAGAAATTGGAACACACGTTCATGTTAAGATTATATACTGAAATTGTTTGTCTTATCTTCATCTACAAGTATTACTCAAAGCTCTAAAAATAACCATAAATATGCAGTTTATGTATGCGTATAACACGAAAACAAGTATTTTCTAATCACTGACTAAAGACTATACCTACCAATATTTCATTAGAATAACTGATCCAAACAAAGACAGAATCGGCACTCCCGATCTTTGATACTACAGTAGATTGTCTAACTCATAAAATGTGAAGATAAAAATATGCGAGGGTGTCTTAACATAAAATTGAGGTTGTTGAATTTGTTCATTGTATTGACGTGAGGCGCAAAATGCTGTCAAGTAGAAATGAGCTCAATTTAGATCAGTGTATTGGGCTAAGGCAGGCCAAATCCAATGTCTCTTGTATCCAAGTAATTTTCTACAATATTAAATGCTGCGGAACGAAACGTGTTGTCTGTGCGTGTTGTATTGTAAAATAATATTTATATAAGCCAGAAGTTTTTGCTACACCTTTTCAGAGAACAGAAAAAATCTTTATTTTAACTCATGAAAATCAGGTGTAAGAAATCGCGTTGGTTTCCGGAAAGGAAGAGCAGATGCTGTTTAGAAGATGCTGTTTTGCAAACCTGGTACGTTTTGCAACATATAATTGAGTGATAAACTTTTGCCGCTGTAGTATTTTGACGACATCGAAACCAAAGAACGGTAAACAAGCAAATATATGAACATCCGCAACATGGCATATCTTTCCTTTGTCAAGTCATATGCAAACTATATCCAAACAACTTTAATCTGCACTTGTCTATCAACGGATAGGGAAACTAGCAACAGAAGAAGTGTCGCGTGAGTCTTTAGCAAGTATTTTCAGTATAGGTAAGGCCACTCTGTGGCGCATTACTAATGACAGAACTGTGCCCAGAAAGGTGCATTCCATCGTCAGAGATAAAAGAGGCAATAAAAACAAATAATAAAACAAAAAAATAAATATCATATGTCATGTAATCAGATTTTTTTCAACTTCTCATATATCTAAAGTAGGTTCAGTATTCTACCTAACAGTTAGTAGTGCATTCGGGTTCATCAATAAGAAAGCAAAATACTGTCTACTCATATTCCAAACAACTTTTATTTCATTATGGCGAAACATCCTAAACGGGACACCTGCGCCCCGCAATCTGACAAACATAAGAGGGGCAAGAAGGATATTGACAAACCTCATCAGTTTCGCCGAAAATATGGCGACGCTCTGAATGCCCCAAGATCACCCATTCGCAACCGCAATCCTTAATCATAGCTGGACTACAAGTGAGGCAAGAAAATTAATTCTTAACAAACATGAAGTATATCCTGACCTACGATTCAACGAAGCAACTCGGGTCAAAAATCACAATAGCTTGGGAATTACAGTTAAAATTCCTGTAGGCAAAAAGCGTTCAAAATCTTAGTCGACGTAAAAATATTTAAAGCAGTCTGCGTTTCTGAAAAATTCCATGTTTCTCACCGATTAGGATGGCAAGTAAATATATCGGGGCGCTAAAAGAGGGCGAAACAATTTTTTTCAGCTAGTGGATCAAAAACATTTGTGTTAAATAATTTGCGTGCGGGACCCCTGAAATGAAGCTAGATCCCCTACTACATATTTCTTATGATGTACTTACACATTGTCTAATAAAGTATTGAATTTCAGAAGGATTCCGATATAAAAGCCAAATTCGACCAAAGTGTCCGCTAAGAACTACAATATGAATTATTGATTTGTCAGCCCAAAAGATAATGGCTTACCTCCATCGGAAAAACCTAATCTTTCACCCGCATGCATTCACTATGCATAGTAATAAGGATGAGCTATGCAAAGAACGCAAACCGAAGTCATCAGATAGACATAGAACTAAATTCAGCTATATTAGAGGTATCTGAGTCGTTTGTTTCCGGTTGGAGTAAAGACTTACTGAAAGCATATAATACTGTAGATATGTTGGTGATTTAGAGGACCGCACAGGCAGACATGCTCTTAAACAAGCTAAGTATACGCTTAAATCTATTCCAGTAAATTTGGTCCTTAAATAAGCTCATACGCTGAATCAATATGTTCTTTGGCACTTGATTTGGAAGAAGGGCCATGTAATAGGGGAAGTATTATATTCAAACAAAGATATGATCCTGTATCCAAGGGTTTCATGCCTCCGATCGGGAACTACGGAAGTATCGGTGTATGACTTCCAGTCCTTATTATACATGAATGCTTCTAACGGTGAAACAGTGGATACATGGCATATTTTAAGACTATACGTATGCTGTATATGACACTATGCAAACTGCCGCATTTAAAACTCTAACATTTTTCCATAAAGTTGCCGGCAACAGTTACTGTCGTCGCGGAACATTTGAAACAGGTGGAAAAGGGGGCCTGTCATTTCGGCCCATCAGAGTTTCCTACGCTGTTCAATGCTGGAGTTTCCCTGCCATTGCTTCTTAATTGCCCGACATTGCTATTAGGGAGTGTACTGATTCAAGTGCACACCGCATTAAACTCTGTTGCCAACTTAAATGAATGTCACAACGCACAGTTTAGAGACAATTATAGTGCAACCTAGTTCGTAGGTGTGGTTTCGAAAATCCAAAACATTTTGAAAACAACGCGTCGTTATCTGTAAATTGGAATAAATGACAAAATTGGGAAAGCTCCTACAAAAACCCCTTAGTTAGTACCTACCTGATTTCACCCGTGAATGCGCCACTCGCGACTTTGTAACAATTTTCCGCTGCGATCTTAATGCCCTTGCGTGCCTTTTCCTGCGCATACTTTAGGTAGCACGCGGGAGCTCCAAGTACAATTTCTAATGCTATTTAAAATTTGGGGATTTAATTACCAGCGTTCGGGTCAAGATCAGCAGAGTTCAGATTATTGAGGATTGTATCAATTTCGCCATGATTTCCATTCATTTTCCAGTTGCCTCCAACAAATAATTTACGTTGGCTCATTTTTCAGGTCACTGTTTGGGACCGACTCTATTGAGCGCTATCGACCCGGCTCCAGTAACAACGGTGTCTACTTGCGACCTCGAAATCGCTGACAGTGGTCAATGAAATTTGGACGTTTAAAACAAACAGTTCCACATTTGGAAAAAAATAAATTATCACATAGCAAATGACCGAACTAATTTGAAAATCTATTTTTTAAAAGGATTAATACTTGCAGTAGTGAAGAAGACACCTGTGGATGAGGACAACAAGCGCCGATTATTAACAGAACTATTGGTCAACGTTCCATCTTCTGTGGATATTGGACCGATTTACTTAAGTGAGCCAGCATGCCGGACAGTTCAAAAATGTCTTCCCTACCAAAATTGGATGTCATTATTGCAATAAAGTTTTAAAAGTCCTCCTGATCGTTTTTGGCTCTAAAATTGAATTGTGCGATGAAAGATTGATCGCCTTCCTCAAGACTCATGCTGCAATTTTCATTTTTTGTTCATTTCTCCGAATCACTTGAATCCCCGGCGACATATTACACTGCACAAAATTTAACGTCGAAAATAGGGTACTTAGAGTCTCACGCATATTTCCTCTCCACAGACTGAGGTGATTTTTAGGTTTATCAAAGCCTGCGCGTAGATACATGATTATTAAAGTAGAAAACGTGAAAAGTGAGGTCATAACCCTGTTGGGCGCACCCGAGATTTGTAGAACCGGTGAACTTTCTGTCTCTCTTATTTTACCTATTCGTTAAGCTTTACCCGTGCGGTGTAAATGACCTCCTGCCTTTACATATTATAACTACGCCTCGGTAAATCTCTTGCTCCAAAGACAGGCTAT